GCACTCCTCGCTGTATGTCAGGCTAGCTTCTATGATGGACAGGTTGGATACCTGTGAAACTGCACTGACGGTAAGAAGGACTTATTAAAATATATACATATTTAACAATATCTGTTAAATTACTGTAAATGATGCCATTTGATCTCTTCAAGTAAACTGGATCAGCAACCATACACAATTCTAAAAGTATACCAGAGTCACAATTGAAAAGGAAATGTGTATGGTCAGGAAAGTCTTGTTTGTGTAATTGTTTCCTCGCTGCTCTCTTGATATATTGGAAATGAATTTAAGTTAATTCTGGTAATAACTGGTCACAATGTTGCACACTTTTCATGGTAGATGGTAGAGCCGCTTGAGATCCACCAGATTGAAAGTTGATGTATTGGCCTGGATAATTGATTTAAACATAATCCTTTTATTCTAATAAAACAGGCAGTGTGTTTGTCATGTAACACTGGAAGGACATGTCTTTTATTAGGCTAAGGAATGCTTGACAGCTGATTCAGAATGTTTTTTTTCTACAGTAGCACCAAATGTATGGTAACAACCAGTCTGTTCATGCTGTTTCTGAATATAAAAGTAAAAGATTCTAAAAGCTCATAGAAATGGCACGTGCTTCAGAATTGATCTCTGAGAGGATGACTGTGTCTCCCTGCTCAGATCTCTTGAAGGTCTTCTGTAAATAAAGGCATTTCAGAACGGCACAGAGCCCTGGGTCACCAGTGGGTTAGATGGTCATGCTCATAACCAGACCAACTACTTTAAGCTCAAAGCTCAACTCTCCATTCCCACAGACACCAGGACCAGAGCACAAAGAAAGGAAAACCAGTGCAAGCAGATTCAGGAATACTCTCCTTTACTCCAAGAGCTGCACAGTAACCATGCTGTACCACAGGAAGGAGAAATATACATAGGCAAATAGTGAGAGTGCATTTTACTTTGCACTATACTTTATGTCTTCATATTTCTGTGCCTTGCAGAATGCTCTTAAAGCAAAAAGCTGCTTGCCAACAAACTTTGTAATGCTTGTCAGTGCTTTTCAGTGCTTTTGCATTGAAAACTGAATTCTGTATTCCACCCTCCGCAGGGCAGAATAAAACGGTTAGCTTCGGGGATAAAGTTGCTTTGTGCACAGCTGACTCACAAGCAGAGGTACTGAACCTGCCCTTAAGGTAACAAGGTTCCTATAGTACTGGAGACTTTGTACCGCCTCTGTGATTTACTGGGGAGGTGGAGTGAAAGCCTTTATACTTCATTTAAAAAAATCATTGAATATCATAGAAAATAACCTTAATGCATGTTAAATGAGCTGCAAAAGTCATTTGAAACCTAGCTCTGTATTTTCCCATAAAGCAGATATTTCTGTCAGAGTGCTACAGCACCCCCTAACTGGACAGATAGTCCACTTCAGGCTCATCGCCCTCCAACTCCTTCTCTTCCTGCTCTCTGTTGACATGCTATGGATGTTTAATCGCCCCATGGTGCTATGAATTAGCTAGGTTCACATCACCTGTGCGGTAGTGAAAAGCACACACACACTCTCCATGCCATAACAGCAGCTAGGAGTGTTGAGTCAGAAACTGCTGCGTCACCACAGGTCCTACAGCTGGGCTTTAACTGTTGAGCCAGTGCACACTGTGTTTTCTGGTAATTGTTGCTACCTCCTTTATATTCACTTTAGAATGCTTTGCAAGGAAAACATTTGCAGAGCCAGTGGGTGTTTTCCCTCTTCCTTCGGAATTTGAAAACCTTTTGTTTGATTCAATTGTTTGACAGTCTTTCTGTAATTCTATGTAATCCCCACTTCCGGATAATGAAATATCATCCAGAAATGACATGCGACTGTGAATATCACTGTACTTTGGTATTACTGGTTTTGAAGAGGGTACATGTGTGACTGTGATTTATTAGGCCAAATGTTGGGGTGTAAATTTGCTTCAAAAGGTTTGTAACTGGTGTCCTTTTCAACAAAGGGACATATGATTATGCTCACCCATGCAAGTCCCTAGCCGATAGACTTCCAACAAGGCACTATACTACACCTGCAGTGGGTACAGATAAGGGTTGAATACTGTATGTAGACTGGGGCAATGTAATTCATGGAGTAACACAGGGATCTGTAATAAGACCCACTGCACGTGCTAATTTAGATCAATTATCTATTCTGGCGCGTTATTAAACTTGTCAAATTTGCAGGCGATATTTAATTAGGAAAACTCTATAGAAGCAGTTAAATGCAATTCAAAAAGATTCAATAAAATTCAAGACTAGGCAAATACCAGGCAGGTGAGGTTTAATGTAGACAAGTGTGGGGTTTTGGTGCAGGATGTAAAAACAAACTATAAATTCTAAATGAGAACTGGTGAGCTGGAAGAGGCTACTTTGTGAAAAAGAGTGAGGTGCTTATGTTTGACACAGCATGTGCATCTTCTGGACAATGTTGGGAAGCAATTTAAAAAGCCAACAAAGCGTTGGATATATAAATGCATAGAATATGTTCAGTCTCTCTGCTGTGCACAGTGCTTAACAACAGAGCTCTGAATTGCAGGTACATTTTTTTCATGTACATATCTGAAAGGTTTTAATTCCTCATTTCCATGTTTAATTATGTGAATGTTGGGAAAAAAAGGGTGTTGTTCAGTCTTTGTTAGGGATGAGGTTATTCTTGTAGAGCGGTAGTCAGTGTCTCTCTTTGTAGACTATACAGTATACAATATATATGATATACATTTGTACACATTGTATACAAATACAAATATATTATATATTTGAAAATAAAGTATATGGTATTTTATTTTCAAACATTCGCCTGACTTTATATACTGTCCTTCGTTAAAGGGATCGTTTTGCAAAACAATGAAAATGTCTGTGCTTTGCACTGATGTTGTGTCTTATTTCATCTGTGGAGGCCAGCCATTCCATATCTCCGTCTTTGAAGTGAAAAGAAAGTGTTTGGCCTTGTGGTGACAGCGCAGTGATGCTTCATCTCTTGAGTTCTCCTGACGAAGTACTACAGATCTGCGCCAAACTAAGTCAACACTGAAACTAGACAAATCAGGGAGCCAATCACAGCGTGGAGCACTGAGTCTGATTGACCTGCTGACCCAATAGATGTATCTGCATCTGTTTCCAAGGTAACTTACTGTACAAAGTTGCTACTGCTGTGCTGCAGTGCAAGAGGCAATCCATCTCATTTAAATCTGGCAGTAATCAAGCAATTTTACTGACATAACCAAATAACTGAAATATTCTTTTTGCTTAAACAGTAAACTATAGAAACTTTGAAGCAACAATAAATGTTAAGAATTCCAAGTGATCATGTCTCCAGAGAATGTAATCTATAATACACAGTTGATATACTAACTGGCTTCAAAATCACATAAGTTGTCCACTGCTTTGTATTATTACTGTAATAAATATAGTAATCTATATACTAAATGCTCCATTCATAAAATATCTTGTTTCACACAGTCTCACATAATTTTAAGCATATGCACACAAATATAAACTGTATACATGTGTGGCTGATAACCACACAAATTACATCAATCACAACAGATTATAACTTGCATATTAGAACTACTGTACAAAAACACAGTACAACACACCAGAAAAAGAACGGTAGCTTTTTTTTATATGAAAACTACCTCTCTGCTGCTGTTATCTCTCTTGCTCCTCCCATGACAGTAATACTGCCGATCAGCTTCCAGCAAAGGCTGGGAGTTGAATTAAAAACGCTACTGGCCTATATATCCGCCTGCTTGCTGAAGTGAGATTCCCCGATCATACGCACCTGCTTGGGAATGCATCTCAAGTCTGCAAATACGACCAGTAAGACATCTGCCGTTTGCAGCATTTTTCCATTCTAATAATCCAGCACACGCTGGATGGACATGTGCAGTTTGACAACTGCTGAGATGTGGAAGCTGCTAGCACTTTCTGACTGGGGCATCTGAGCCATCATCCAGCAGGGAGGGCACTTAGCCTGAGGCCTGAGCAGCGGTCTGTTGCCCCCCTCCTACTACTCCAACAGACCCCAGTTTTAGCACAAAACAGGGCTCATCCCCCCAAAAAAACCAAACAGACCTACCCACCTTTTCTGCCTCCCTGACACTGAAAACCCATAGCAGTATCAATTCGGCAAGCACGTGTGTTCAGGCCAAAGGCAGGAAGGTCTGATCCCCGGACACAAGCTGCTAGAATTTGTCTTTGTGCCCCCACTTCCACCACACCGGCAGTCTTTGCGGAGCTCCCACCTCTCTTTTATCCACTCGTCAGCCTGGCCTACGCATTGCTGTTGCGGAACCTGACTCGGTAGGTTGTTGTCTCAGGGGTCCCCATGCTCGCGGAGTGATCGCGGCCTTAATTGAGGAAATCGGGGACATCGCCCCTCAGGCACGAGGTGAATTCTTGCTTTCCTTTGTCCCACTCCACTCCCCATCTTACACGGGTGTCATTTAAGGTCTGGTCAGAAGCCAACAGGGCTCAGAAGAGTGAAAAGGGATCATTTTGGCATGATTTTCAAGTCTGGACGTGACGGATCTGCCCTATCTCATTCCAATTACTATTCCTTACAGGAAGGCTGCTGCGATTGGGATTCTTTCTTTTTCAATCCAACTGTTATTTACCCAGTTTGCATAAGGCACTGCAGGTGACCTGGAATTGTAGTTGCAGCCCAGATGGCCTTATTTCAGGCCTCCCGTCTTCTCCAGGCTGAAGCAGGAGAGAGAGAAGGGGCTGGCTGTGCTTGTGGATAGAGGGGAAACAGGAGGGCAAGACAGGGGGGCGAGGCACAGGCTGGGGCAAAGGACAAACCCAAAACTTCCCCACGCAAACAGGAGCTCGCCTCTCGACGCTCCAAAAAAGTAATTCATCAATGAACTTAGCAGGCTCTTTAGAAGAAGCCCCCGGCCGCCTAGTCAGCATTCAGACAACAGCCCCTGCCTGCCTGACACGAGTCTGGCCCCGGCACACACAGGAAGTCATGCAGCTTGGCTTACCTCCGTCGGAGTAGGTCTCCGTGCCATAGCCATCCTGCAGGCCGTTGCTCCAGGTGCCCTCATACTTGGCGTTGCTGCCCGTGCTCTCCCGAATCCCGTAACGTCCCTTAAATCCATGAGTCCATTCGCCTTTATATACCCATTTGCCTTTGCTCTCCACCCCGATGCCATGCCTTTTGCCCTGTGCCCAAGTCCCTTGGTAAGTGTTGCCACTGGGCCAGGTGTAGACACCCACCACCTCGAACCCGTGGCTCCACGACCCCGAGTACTCCCCCTGTCCCTTGGGGCCCGTGCAGATCCCGTGGCCGTGCGCTTTGCCATCCTCCCACCCTCCGCAGTATGACCCCCCATCATCAAAGTTGAACCTGCCCCCACTGGACATGCATGAAATAGGTCTTGCAAATCCCCCCCTCAAAAAAAAAAGAAAAGGAAAAAAAAAAAAACCAAAAAGAAAAAAAAAAAAACAACAACACCCCCCCCCACCCCAAGGTAGAAAAAAAAGTAAAATTGAAAACAATGTCCAAGCCAAAACAGATGGCCGAAGCAGAAGGATCCCTCCGCAAAAACAAGAGCCTCAGACCATTTCTGATATTATTCCTTTCTGGGTCTCTTCCGAGAGTGGCTAGGACTGAGCAACATACCACAAGCCATGCGCCTTACAGTTCATCGACAATCAGAACTCTTTCCCCCTCCAACCCCCCTTTCCTCTCTCTCTCCCAAGCCAGGAGAGGCAGCAGGCTCCACCTAGATTGCTCGAATCCCAGGCAGCAACAAGCCGATCGGAGGATCAGAATCCATTAAAAAAATCCATCTGGTGGTCCAGGTATCTGCTGCAGTGTCCATCGGAACGCCCTAGCGCACTGTGGCTAAGGCTTCAGCCGTGAAAAAGCAATTGAGAGAGAGAGAGAGAGAAAGAAACGGAGAGAGAGGGAGACTCCAGTAGGGCTCTAATGCCTACGCTGGAGACAGCAATGCAGTGTCTCTCTCTCTCCACACACACGCGCGCTCGCACACACACACACACACGCTCACGCATACACACACCTCAACACCAAACAACTGATCTGATTTTCTTCTCTCTCTCTCTCCCTTTTCCTTGTTATCTAATGCCCAAGCCTACTGCCAAAGCTGTCACAGATCCAGAGGTCCTGACAAGAGAACAATTTAGGCTCTTGTCTGTCTTTCTTCCTCCTGCTTTCTTCCCTATCTGGGGTCTCTTCTTTCTGGTGTTTATAAAACCTGCTTATTAAATGAGGACTGTTCCACAGCACTCACCCCCGCCTGCCTGGATTTAAAGAGACAGGAACAGCATAATGATGAGCTTTCCAGACCTCCAATCGCTCTGCCTCAGTTCCTTGGGGACTACATGATTCCTTCCCCTCCTGACTCTTCAGATATGGAGCGTTATTAGCTAATACGCAAAACAAACACACCTGAAACACTGAAATAAGCAGCAGATTGTACGTGGGATGTGAGGCTTATAGACCTATTGTTGCTTTTATACATGCACATATTGAGTGTGTGTGAGCATGAACCTACACTGTATTTGTATTCTGCTGAAGAAAAATATGCTGAAATTTAGAATGTTTATAAAGGAAGAGTAATAATTCAATTACATCAAAGGTACTACTGTGATGAGCTGCAGCTGTGTTCCTGTTACGTTTCTTATGTACTTTGTAAAATGGAATTTACTGAAACTGTGTCAGGCTGTATTTGAATCGATAAATATTTCTTCACATACAGTATACACGCGCATAATGTATAAAAGTACAAATATGACACAAATTGTGTTCCAGACATTCCAGGTATGCTTTATTCATCTTCACTATTTTTTAACAAACGTGGTGATACATTGGTTTCATTTGTGTTCTAGATGAAAATATAAACTTCAGCAAAATCTCTGTATCGATCTTGCTTGATACCCCCATTCGTACCGGCCAATTAATTCAAAAAATGTTCAGTTTGGTATCAAAATCTCTCTTGCTTTTACGTTTTATGGCCCTGAACCGACTCCTCAAATCCTCTATTAATATGTGTGATGTGTGCTGTTTGTGGTGTTGCTGTTCAGCTTAGGAGCTCCTGAATCAGCAAGCCTCAGGTGCCTGATGTGACAGAACGGGCGTGCCGACGGTGTCATTAATCTGGGGGACTCTAAGGTGTGTGCCGAGGAAGGTGGCCGTGCTGCCTCCTCTCCATGTCAGCTGAGCCAGGAACACCTCTGCTGAATCTCATTAGGGGGCTGTGTGTGTTTATCCAGTCAATTACTGCAAATCAGATAAGGCTGAGCAGGGTAAAAATAGACCACAGGGCCTGCAGGACCAGAGCGCTCTCCGAGAGAGAGGACGACACTGGAGAGCACTGCGTGGGGACTGCAGGAGAGGGGGACTAGGGGGCGAAGGTCAGTATCGGGGGTCAGGGGGCGCTGGATTGGAGATAAAGTGCTTGCTCCCTGCTTCCTTCAGACGATCAGACCAGCAGACTCTGCGTGCTGTGCGTGGAGGACACGAGAGAGAGCAGCAGTGAAGTTGCAGTGTTGTAGGAACCTCCTGTGGTTGGAAGCCTTCACTGCAGTCAGAACAGCAGCAATGGCTCCTCACTTCCCCATGGCTGACGAGGTAGAAATGACAGAGCTGTGATCAGAGCCCTCTGTATTGTGCTGTTCACGGGTCATCGACTCCCATTAAACACAAGTCTCTCTTTTGTCATTTACAATCAAAGATAAAAGAATACGCACTGTAAAATCCAATACTAAGGCAAATGCAACAGGGTCTGTAGACCTTAAATGACTCGGAATAGTTTAGAGAAAAGGTCCACAATCCCCCCAAAAAACATGGGATTAAAAAATATACATTTTCTCAAAAATGTATCTTTATGTTGGCCTTCGGTATCATCCCATGTGCCCACATTTGTCCTTTGAAAAGCTACAAGCTGAGCAGCGATGAGAAGGATGTACATGTACTGTACAACGAGGTCATGTCATGGACAGGGGGAACATCGAGACATGACATCATAACCTGCAGGTGCCCAGGAAGGTGCAGGGGAATCACTGAAGCTGTGTCCCTCACTGATGACATCTCAGGTTAGATGGGCTGAGTCACTTCCTATGATACACTATAAGACACTACAATACACAAGTGATACCATGATACACTACAATAAAATAGTCTGGGGTTGCCCACAGCCACAGTGGGGGTTAAAAGCATGACCCAGTTTGACAGGATTGGCTGTAAAGGCCCGGATTAATACAAAGCTGTGGTAAAGTCAAAAGTAGGCAGGCGAGCAGCGAGATCCGAATTTGACCACTCAGAGAACGGCGCTAAAACGGACTTCAAGTGTCCGGCTTGCAGTCACAACTAGACAGGCAGCCAGTACTGTCAACTCTGCATATTGTAGCAGACTGCTGTTCTCACGCACCTTTCTCATAGGTTTCGCAAGGTTGGTGGTGAAACTTTCTGGAGGGAATGGAGAGACGTCCGGGTTACATCCCCAGTGACAGCAATCTCAACCCATTGGCATCCTCTGACTTGCTAGCAACTGGTCTGCTCGCTAAGCTGGTCTTTTGTGCAAAGCAGTGCAGAGAAAGCATCAGCTGCCAACCTGTACAGTACAATGAGTGCGGATTTGGGCCAGTGTCACCCTGTGCTGAGTCTGCCTACATCGCTACACCTAACAGCTCCCCTCTTTTTACTCAGTGCAGGCTAACTTTCCAATTATTCTGAGAAGATGATTTCAGCCAAGAGAGGAGGATTTTTTCTGGTTAATTCTATGACCGCTCCAAAAAAAACCCCATAAGATATAACCTTTATTAATAGAAAAAAAGAGTGCATGTGATGGGGAGGGGTGGAGGGGATTAATGTTAGGAATAAAATTACCCTAACTGAGGAAAGCATTACTTATTCATGATCTCATTAATCACAACATCTACAGCTACAGATCAAAGACATCTGTTCATGAATCATCCTGTCTGGTCCTATGTACTGTGAAACTGGCAGGATGTAGAACAAACACTTTTAGAGCTGGGTATGTACAGAAGGCAAATTGCAGGAGTTTTTGTCCATGGATTCCCCATGGATGAGAAGAGTCATGAAGTTTCAATTCAATTCAACTTTATTGTCATTAAACTTACACAGGTGCATAGTATAATGAAAAGTGTTTCTCATTAGTCACTCAGGTGCAGTATATAAATAGGACAGAAGATAAGACAATAGACAGTTACACAATAGCAATAACAGTAACATGTAATAACATAACATAAATAACATGTAATCAAGTAATCAAAACTGTGCACAATTCCGCAAACAGAGAAAATATAACACGACAAAAACAGTGCAAGGTAATTCTTGGAACAGTGCAAAAAATAGTATGGTTAAAGTGACTGTGGTGTTATTTGCTTCAAGGGACAGGTCTCACTGAACAATCTGAGTCAAGAGTATTCAAGGAAACATTCACAATATCGACTGTATTCATGCAGACTCAGTGTCTTCCCTTACCTAGGGATCTCCCTGGATCATAACAGATGTGCTACACTGCCACATTCGTACAGTATCCCAGCATTATCCCATTAAATGGCAAGCCAGGATTTTAAAGTATCGGGCATGTTATTTAAGGAAGTCGGTGTGTTGTAATTGGGAGAGCTAGAGAGCCTGTGTCTGAAAACAACACCAAGACCCCGGACATCACCCCTCACATGATGCAGCAAAGACCTGCTCTAAATTCTGGATCTGCAGTGTTATGATTAACAGCGACTTCAACAAGCATTCGCAGCACCAGCATACTCAGGCAATGTGAGGAAGCCACAAAAAAGGTTTCAGGATAGATGGTGAACTGCACAGAATTTCCTATCCCCATGTAGAGAACACCACGTACTATCTGCTGCTCTGGAATGACTTCAAAGAAGTGCAACAGGGTTCATTCCTGGCCTACAAGAATGTAAGGAAGGTAAAACGTTTAAGAAACTGAATCACTTTAGTCTCAGACATAACCATCCCAGTAATAATCCACCCACTCTTTCCAGCCCAGGGCTGTGGGGGAACTGGAGCCTACCCTTGAAGGCAACAGGCACAAGAGTGGGCACACCGTGGATGGGACGCCAGACTGCCACAGAGCACTCCCAGACACAAACACAGACCCACACCTAGAGTCAGTTTCCACCAAAGAGAATTAACCTCCCAGCATGTTTTGGACTTTGGAGGAAACCGGAGCCCCCAGAGGTAACGCATGCAAACAAGCAGGGAGCACACAGACTCCACACAGATAGCACTGCAGGTCCACGATTGAACCCAGTGCCCCAGCACCGGGCGGCAGAGACACTCACCACTGCGCCACTGTGCTGCCCAGTAATAGGATGCCCTTATTGAGTTAGTGGGGGCAAATAACGGTTGGATACAACTAACACAATAAGTGGATAAACACAACAGATAACACGCAAATAAATCGTAAAATACGTCAGCATAAATATCCAGACAACTGCACATACAATGTAGATGGAGTGTACTGAAAAAAACAACAACAACAATAAAAGCATTGTGGTACAGGGAGGTCCATACTCCAGGGGCAGTTATTGCTAATTTGCAAGCACAATACAGACGTATTGATGAAGTCAAGACAGCAGACCGGTTCAGGACACGGTCACGCTGTCCCCAGTTACACAGCCCCCTTGGAAAGCAGAGCCGCTCCTTTTGTAATGAGACTGGATCCTTCCCTTTGTTTTTAATCCCTTTTTTTAAAAGAGAGGATATATAGTGTTGCTGCACCAATACATCGCTGCGGAGTAAAACATCCCACTGCCCCCTCCGCTCAGCACTTACCGCCCTTAATGGCACCGCCCTCGCCTCGCCCAGCCTGCCTGCACAGAGTGGGCGAGAAGCAGGAGAAGGCACCCCGAGGCGCTCCTGGAGTTCTGGCACCACCTCGTGGGGGAGTGCAGCTGCGCGCCACGCGTGTGAGCTCTGCAGCAGAGGCCTGACACAGCGCCAGGGCGACGCAGGAGTAAAATCTCATACTCGGATATCAGAGGAGCGACATGCTGCCTCACCCCCCCAGAGGAAAATCGCAATTCCAGATAGTGAAACGTACTCCAGTTATCTTTCCGGCAGTGATTTTGATTCCGGCTCTTTATTTTGCTGTTTATTTGCTGGTGTGGGCTGCTTTTCTAACGCTCCCGGAATGAAGCAGTAAAACTAACTAGATACTGTCGTTCCGTAGCCCTAGACAGACGCATCACCGTACTGTAGTCCATCTGGTCAACTTCAAACAAACAAACAAACAAACAAACAAACAAACAAACAAACAAACAACTCTGTCTTTGAAGGAATTAAACTCTTGCATAAAACTTTTGTCCTCGGTCAAAACAAACAGGAAAACATTTACCTCAAGAGCGATGTCAAATTGTGATAGAAATGTTTCTGTTTAACAAAAAGGCTTTGAAACATGCCAGTGCTACACGTATACAATTTCTGTTGTCAAGAAGGTCCCATTAATTCCTCAACACAAACTCCCTATACAATACACTGAAAATAAGTACCAGATGGGACGTCTGAGCAAACATGGAAGGACACGGGTAATTAAAATTACGACCAAACGCTTAATAGAAGGCAGCTATTAGATATAATGCAATTTATATGTCCTCAGCAACTGCTACTCCATTTAATCTTGCCAATAGGCGTACAACATCCTCCATTTTAAGGACGGAATTACAACAGAATTGGTTTTATACCCTTTTATAGTTTCAGTCATTATAAACATACAGTATGTTGAGCATTCTGTCAGATTCTGGTGGGAATCTGTATTTGCCTGTGTTTTAGAAACAGCGAAATCCCATCCGCGGAAATGGTATTCTTGAAATGAAAAAGTGGAACTGTTTGAAAATATCACAAATATCACTCCACACAAAGGGGGAGATTGTCCCGGGGTGCTATTTCACGGTGAGGCGTCAATAAACGCTCAAGTGTGGGAGAGACGATAAAAGTTACGTCCCGAACGATAAACCTGACTCAGGGGTTCTGACGAATAACTTAAAACACTAAAAAAATAATGTATAACCTTATTAAAATGTTTTTTGTTATGAAAAGGAAACACAATCATGTATTTTGTTATCTTCGGGCTCGTTTGATTAATTAAAATATGATTAACGTTTTTGACAATTTATTAGACAATTACCCTGCGATTAAAATCAATGATTGAATCTCAAATCGATACAAATTCGGTTTCTGTAAACATCTGGAACATGTTTACAGAAACCGAGTACGGGTTTCAGAAACCAGATAGCTCCTCTCTAAAACGCACGAAATAAAACGTGCGCCGAGCTTCCGCTAGGTGGCGACAAATCAATTGTTCTTGAGCTACACTACGGATCACCCAGATAATCTTCAGCAGCAGAAGAAAAATCTGGAAAGGAGGGTCTTAACTACAAAAAGGTGGACAAAGCAGTAAATAGAAAATCAAGTGTTTTCAGACCTCCTTTTCCCTTCCTGTCGTCGTTATTATTGTTGATATACTGCAGACCCCTACATATTTTCTGTACACAGGGCTTTTTTTTTCTAGAAATACTGTGCATGGCGAGATTTTATAACATCCGACGATAAAACAATGCAGGGTTAGGGAGGGGTATTAAACTGCTGTCGATAAGGTAGCACCGGGGTTGCTGTTTGCAAATCAGGAAAACAGCGAAAGGAAGAGAGACGCTTTTTTTTTTTGGACCGGACCAAAGAGGGTGACGTCATGTAATGGCAGATCCAGAACTCCCCGTTGCCAAAAAAAAAACCTACCCTGAATTCTCTTTTGGACCTGAAGGGGGAGGGTGTCTTGTTTGCTCGATTGTTTTTTTGTTTGGCATCTCGACATTTTAAAATTGCAATACAGTAAAAATAAAATAAAGCGGCGTGGATAACGTGGCCTAGAGCTCCAGGTCGGAAAGGAGCTGTTGCAGGGATCGCAACGGAGCCAGCAGCGGAGTTGGTTAAATAATCTGTCTGACAAAATCGAAAAACATCTCGGGCTCATGTGAGATTGCAGATACGCGACTGTGATAGCTCCGGGCTGGCCAATCGGGGAGCCGACTGCCATGACGAGCACGGGGCACAGCCAATCACAAGCGCCAAACGGAGGTAGTGGGTGGGCCTAACGCACGCGTTTTGGGATAGTAGCTGTACTGGTGTGATGTACTACTATATCTCAAAACTAGAATACGCATAGAAAGGGAGAAAACAGTCTTTTATTTATGCTCTTTATGCAAGAAATTCAGTCTTACTCACTGACAAAATACAGTCTTTGGTGTCAATGCGAATAGGGGAATTGCAGAGTTTGTTTTTTTAATTCAAACTGTGAAGCAGAGTTGTCGGAGTTTCATACACCGTGTCTTGAACGACGCTCCCTAATTGTTCTTTAATGCGAGCCATACTGGAAATCCCGAGGTAAAAAAAAAAAAGCGCTGGATTTCGACACCGCACACTAAGCGTTTACAATGATAGTCTGTGCAAAATTCGCTCGGTTTCGGATCGCGCTAGTTCGCGTTTTTGTAAGCGAGTCGTAGACGGCGGTCTCCCGAGGATTTTGAACTTGGGAGCCAAGTGGGAATAGTGGAGGAGATGTTTAAAGGCACAGCGCCATTGCCGGGAGGAATATAAATAAACACTGTGCACGCTTTTGTCTGTGGAGTGTGTTTGTGCGCAGCGAAAATGCCACGCAGGGGAGTCGGGGAGACCAGAAGACGACACCTTGGCTAGGACTGCTGTCAGGACCATGCAGGATCGTACATGGGCATACCCGCGGGGATTGTGGCGAATTGACTGTGGGGCGAAAAACGTCCACAAAAAGGGAAACTTCAGCGTTTTGGATCAGACTCACTTTGAACAGACACCAGGAGCAGCGGAGCCTTTCCATAGCCGAGACCGGATTACTTTATGCAGGAAACTAACTCGCCTCTTCTAAGCGGGCTGTTTGATGGGAGACGGCAGCTGATATTTTGTATCTCACACACCGGTGATTATCATTATCAAGGGCGCTCGCACTCGGCAGGAAAATGGTCGAAAAGCGGAGTTTGCTCCAAAGGGAGAGCGTGTACCGCTGGTTTTCGGAGTTGAACTCAGCTCAGAGGGTTGAATTCCTGTGCGGGCTCCTCGACCTCTGTGTACCCATAGAGCTGAGGTTTCTGGGGTCGTGTTTGGAGGATCTGGCCAGGAAGGACTACCACTCGCTCCGGGATGCGGAGATTAAGGCCAACAACGCAGCGGATCTCGCCAATCTGACCAACATCACCGACGAGGTGGTGCGGAGCAAACTGCTCATCTCCCTGGCGCTGCTCAACTCGGACAACCGGGAGGCCGCCGGAGCTCTCTTCAGGACCCTCACCTACATCGACTCTATCATCAACAACTACGGGCTGCAGCTCAACGACGGCCAGACCGGAGACCAGTTTCTGCTCCTGTTCACCATGGCCTCCAACCACCCCGCCTTCAGCTTCCACCAGAAGCAGGTCCTGAGGCAGGAGCTGACTCAGATCCAGAACATCGTGAACACGACCTGCAGCGGCGCCGTCAGTCTGACCGCGGCCAACACCGTGACCACCTTCACCACCACCACCACGTTCAGCTCGCGTGTCTCGGGCTGTCACTGCTGCCACAAGGTGAGCTGCCCTCTTATGGTCCGGGAACCGGGATTTCACTGCCTCGCCGACGTCTTCACAGCCTGGCTTGTGGGGCAGACCACACGTCCTCTCCAGGACAGGACCCCCCATTCCTGCTCCCTGCCTTTACAGCTCAGCCCTTACAAAATGGAAGCCTTAATTTACCCAGTAATAGAATTCAATTAAGACCTTTCTTTTTTTCTTTTCCCGAATACTGCATGTTAGAGACTGTTTTTCCAGCTATACAGCAAAACTGGATTGCTAACCAATGGCAATTTAATAAATTTACGCTAGTTATTAAATGACTTGGTAGACTGAGTAGTAACCGTAGTGTTAGTACATGTCTTGGTCTTGCAATTAAAATTTCGACAGGATTCTAACACTGTGCTCGACTTTATGATGCTGCTCCATGGAGATCCTCTGTAACAGAGGCCTGTTTGTGGAGCACTCCTATCACTAGGCATTTTATTGGTAACTGGGGAGCCATCATGTTGCTAAAGGCTTGGAGCACTTTAACTGTGATCAGGTATACAAGTAAATTGGTCAATTAAGTAATACTGGTTCTTGACAGATATTCCCAAAGTTACCTCTGACTTTGTAGTTTTCTCAGAAGCAGGTGGTTTAGGGTGACCTGTAAGGATTGACCTTGGAACAGGGCACAAGATCTCTGCTGATGATAATCCACAGGGCCAGGTCCTTCCAGAAACCCTGCAGGGAATTCAGTAGATTTGGCAGTAGAGTTGTGCCACTAAATTGAGATCAGTCCTTAACGAACTAAACTCAGGTTTTGACATGACCCTTGGTTGGTCTTATACTGAGAAGCCAGCAGCTATATCACCACCCTGCACCTTACAACTGAGAACCCACTGAAGCTCAGCAGGTGAGAGGCTGGCCAGTACCTGGACTGGAGACCTCCTGGGAAAGCTAAGGTTGCTGCTGGAAGAGGTGTTAGTGGGACCAGTAGGGGGCACTCACCCTGCGGTCTTTGTGGGTCTTAATGCCCCAGTATAGTGATGAGGACGCTGTACTGTAAAAAGGGGCCGTCCTTTGGATGAGATGTAATGCACTTTTAGTGTAGCTTGCCCCCTGTGTTTTCTTGAGCGGCGATGCGTGCATCGTGCCTGACGTGACTTTGAGCTCAAGCCGGTCACCGCCGTGCACGCCACGATGTGTTGGTATTCTTCTTGTTTTCCTAGAGGCAGGAAGAAAATGTGTAAAACGAGAGCAAGCACACGCACGAAGGTCCAGCCTTTTTTCATGTGTGGTAAAGGAAGAAAAAGTCCCATTGAAAAGCTGTTGGATCTGTGTTGCATTTCACGAATGGCAGGTGTGTAATGCGTGAGAAAGCAGAAAGGCAAGTTAATAGTTCATAAGCAGGATCAGAATAAAAACGTCTGATAGAATCTCAGCGTGCAGGGTAATGGAAACAGGCTTGAAATATCCATCCCTGGTGTTGTTTTGCAGATAAGACCTTGCATTTCAACCCTGGATGCCTTGCCTGTTGGGTTTTCACCTGGACACCCTAAAGATTGCAGGATGCGGATCTCTTTGGTTTTTACCTGGCTACACTGCTGTCCACTGTGTTTTTCATGTGGTGGCTTAAAGCAAACGCATGCAAAAATGTGTTGTTTTATTTCTCCTCCAAATGCAATTGAATGCCAATGGGATGCCCCCTGATGTCACTCAGCCCAGTGTGTCTTGGCAAGGCAGCTGTAATAGTTGGATGTCGGCCTCCTTTCGTTTCGACCTGAAGAGGCTGTTTATTGCCGAGTGAAGTATGTGGTGATAGAGGTGGAAAGAGGCACTGCAGATCTGGAAAGGTTAGTGACGGAGTATGAAGTCCCAGATACCCTGCAGTCATGAGGTAACCACACTTGTATAGAGGGCTCATGTCAGGCCGCTACCCGGTGAAAACCACAGGGACTCGAACTGCCGAACATGTAGCTGTATCCAGATGTTCCAGTCCAGGCGTTGGGCAACACACATGGTTTGAACAACTTATGAACTGGGAACGATGGTGAAAAGGGTCCAGTAGCCCCTCACCACACCATTTGAATTGACTTCTCTGGTCCTAAGGTGTTGATGATCTAAACAAACGTGAAACACCTGGATTGTGATCCTGGAGGACTAGGACTGGAGATCCTGTGTCTCGAGCAGTGTTAATCTCTCATCCCAGACAACTGTACAGATTTTCCCAAGAGTATCAGTTGGAGCTGGATGTAATGGCTAGAAAACAGAACAAGACATTAGTCGAATTGATGAGAGACAAATTCCCCGATAGTCCTCCACTGCTTTCTTGTTTGCAGTGAAGGAAATCTCTTTTCAGTCTGCAGTTTTTGACAACAACACAAAGCTTACTTCCATCATTTTTAGGGTTTGTTTTTTCCTTTTCTAAACGAATGAAACACGTTATCAATGGAAAGCAGCTGTGGGGTTGCTATTCGTTTAGTCTAAACAAGTTTCTCTCCCCCTGCTCTCCGCGCACATGACAGCCTCTCTGAAATATCCTCAGACCTGCCAAGGAGCGCAGCTGTATTTCTTCCACTTTCTTCCTGTCTTTCTTTAGATCGGGGCTCTGAAAACCACAGTGTCTCACAAAACCAGTAGGGTTCTGGTCCCAAAACCACAAGGATTCCATTTTTGCATGTTTTAGAGAAATAAATGTTGTGACTCTCTTTTCATCTTCAGGGCACAATCCTCAATCAAAACTCTACAAACAGCATTTTCCTCTTTCCCAATATAACGGAATACCAGTAACACTTGAGTATAGTGTTGACTGTTGGTAGTAAGACCAGGCAGTCTGTTAAGGGGCTTGTAGAACAGAGATAGAGACTGTTTTTGGATGTTTAGGCATGTGACTATTCGTTATGTTTCCTTACACAACTTAGATGTTGATTTTATAATAATTGAGACCACTATCCAATAGGCATGATTGTTAGCATAAATTGTAGCCTTTATATTGTAGGTGAGCTTTGCCCAAAGTAGGCTGGAGTGGAGCGTTTTTGTTAGTCAGGTCTCGTAGAACACAACGGATCGACAATAAAAATGCAGTTCTGCAAGTGGAATCGTTGTAGGACACCACATAAGGCTTGGGCAGTAAATGTATTTCTTGGTTCAGTTTATTAATGCAGTAAGCAGAGGAAAGGGCCTCTGGCCGCAGTGGGATGCACTGGCTGTGATGCGTACGTGCAGGGTCACTGATGCCCTGGTGCCCTGACGTGCCTGAAGTCTGCAAGGCATTGTGGGAGAGCCCAGCCTGCCGCTGATCTGGTCAGTGGTTGGGGATGATGCTGTAAGACTCGATGATCCCCCTTGGCGTCCTGCAAGTGTTCAACTGGGATCAAATCGGGTGAGAAAGGAGGCCGTCGCGCTCAAAGGAATGCCTGTCTAGCCCTGGATGTGTGCCGAACGGATTCATGCTGGAAAACGAGCTGTCTGTCTGCCTTTGCAGCTGAGACCGTGGCACGTGTATTCTGATGTTCTCATTTTTGATTTGCGCCCCCCTCCTCCTCCCTCGGTTAGTACTTGCTGCTTGTTAACCTCTTCAGCTCACTGCAAAAGGAGAGGGGAAGATTGTACGCACTCTGTCCTCCGAAGCCTGAGTCGTCTCTTATTCCTCACACCGTAAACCCCATAGTAGAGTAATTTTGCATCATAGAAGCGGGGCTCACTGCCAGCTCGTAGGTGCCTGGGGAGTCACAGGCCCTGGTGTTGAGTACCTGGTAATGCCCACCTATCTCCTGTGCACTGAGTCCAGATGGCTTCCAGTTGTGTACACCAGCATTGTGGGAACCTGGGTCCCAGGTGACTAATGATAGAGGCTCAAACCTGCAAAGAGCACGCGATAGAGGTTTACAGGCAGCGTATTAAATTCATAGGTCACGCCTTCCAAATGGAAGAAGTCTTGGGAAGCAATTCTATCCTGTGTTGCATTTGTCAGTACTGGGATGGATGACTTCCAGGGAAACCCAGGTGGCTGCTGTTAGTGGTGTTGGTGGATAAGTAGGGGACACCCTTCCCTCTAGACCTGTATTTCTAAACCAGTGTCCTCGTATGGTGACACTGTGCTGTAGTTTGTGTTGTCCTTCAGATAATGAGACATTAAACTGAGGTCCTGACTAATTAAAAAGATCCCATGGCACAGTTTGTAACAGTAGGGGAGTTAACCCAGGTTTGGGGAGGAAAATGCTGTACATGTGGAATTCTTATTAATGACCTGCAGTCAGGCGCTTTGAGGCTGCTCTAATTTGCAGTGTCTCTGTATGTCAATGAATGGAATCAAAATGGAAATTCTGCCCTGGCATTAATGGTAGAATTTTTTATTTTTGGCTCTGGGGGGACTCCTGTGTTTTGTGGTTTTCATTGCAACCAAGTTAGTGTACTCTTTTCAGCAACCTAATTAATCATTTGAACTGAGTGGAAAAACTAGACTTCCATGGCTAGCTTCAGCTATGTCAGAGATATGGGGGAAAAAGAGAAATTTGTAAGTAAATGATTAGTTCAGTTACTGTGTCAAAATCAGCTTCAGCTAAGCTGATGGGGGGGAAAAACGAAAGCTGGGCCCAGATGCCACACATGAGCCTCGTGCCTGGCTACAGCAACATGTCATACAAAATGGTTTGCGAGTCTGTGACGATACAGCACAGCTTTGTCTCATGTGAAGCGCCTGGGCAGATTCACAGGCCTGGCAAACCTGCAGTTTCAAAGTGAAATCTGTGTGCTGGATGTTTCCACCAGGCAGCCAGTTGTAATACTTTTTCTTGACGCTGATGTGAAAGGGTGGCTTTTGTTGATTGAGCCAGGCATTGTTATGTAATTATTTCCCCTCTCTTTTAGATACTTTCTCACAGTCTGGTGCTCTTGCAGTACTTTGAAAGCAAACGTCTGTGAGGCCCCCAGTGAGTTTAGGAAGTTTTTAGCTATGTGGGAAATGAAGATCTGTTGTACAAATACCAGCTTGTGTACAGAAAAGGCTGTAGCCAGCGTTTATAGGAAACTGGTTTCTTTTCTGTTTTGTTACTTTTGGCCCCAGTTGAGTCCAGATCAGCAAATAAGTGGAGAAAGTCATTCATTTTCTCTTGTGAATATCCTCAGCTGGGGCTTTACTTAATTGCTTTAAATGCTCCATTACAGCATTTTTATACTGAATCATCAACCCGTTTCTCTCAAGTTACACTTTAATTTTCCTTCCTCGCCTCTTGTGCCTCGGTACACGTTTGTTAAAATGGATCCTGGTGTGTTCTTGGGCTTCCTGTGCGTCGCCTAAAACTGCAGACTGCGAACAGTCAGAGGGGCTTCAGCAGCTGCTCTGCAAGTTTGACCAAATAATCATTCAGAAGCCGGTGTTGCTCGACTGCTTCCGTTTCCTATCTGCTGGGAGTGAGACGTGCTTTTTAAGTGTTCTTATTGTATCGCAGGGTTATTTTACAAGGCAGGGGTCGCTAATGAAATAAAGTGAATTGTGAAAAGTTCCACTCAGCAGTGGGAGACTGGCTTCAGTGGCTTTGTGTTAAGTTGTAGTTGGCACTTGGCACTCTCGACTGCCCAGGGCTTGAAGTTTTGTATTATATCACTAGCCATGTTATGAGTGAGATTCATCGTCTGGCGGTGCACAGAAAGTCAGCATCCAGAGATTTGAGGTTTCACCCGGGTATCTCCTCTGCCAGCCATGTGGCAGCAACCCACTGTAGTGCAGCACCGGGCACCTGCGAGCTTGCTCTGTCATGAAGGAAACTGCATCACCCCTCCAGGTTGATGCCAACTTTTCTGTGGGCACTGTGGGATTTGGAGAGTGAAAAATCGACTTGAATTGACGGCAATAGTTGAACAGTTGTTATATGTTAAAATATTAGGAGGGTTGCATAGAAAAATAAGTAATAATTCCAAATTTTGAAAATGGCAGTACTGCATAACCGTATCTGGTTTCACTTGAAGAACGTAAGAACATTTACAAACAAGTAGTGGCTATTTGGTCCATCTAGCTCGGATGGTAGTTAGTAGCTAATCAATCTGAGTATGTCTTAAAAGCTTCTGTTTAAATGGCAACTAAAGAAGGAAAAGAAAGAAGCCAACACTAAGATTAAGCTGGAGTACCAGTGAGTCATTGGTGTCTGTTTTTACCACTTAATAAAGCATGACACTACCCTACTATAAGGCCAAAGAGACAAATGTGTGCCAAGATTTCCCTAATTTTATTTATAGCAGAAACATGAAGTCATTGCAGATACTTTCTTTAAATAGCAACCCATTGAGCAATAAGGATTCATCTGTGGTTTATGAGATCTACAGAGCCAAAAGAGTTCTTCTTGCAGTGAATCAGAGATTAAAGGTATCTTTGTATGTCTCCAGGAGAATTTTCCTTGCAATAACCTGTGAAGGATTTGGCAAGAGCTGCACATTTTGGCATCTGTTGTCCTGAGCTGGAATAGCTATCAGCCTGGCACAGGCTCAGAAAATTAAAACGTCTCTTATGTTGTCATACAGAGCTGGTCCCCTGCTGTCACTTATCCTACATGACTGGGAATACAAGTTTCTGCTCTTAATTACCTGCCTGGCAGCCTTCACAATAGTGTTTTAGTACTAAACATGGCAAGTTCTGCCATCTTTTGGCCCTCACAAGAAGATGTTTAACTGACTTCTGTTGTGTATCCTTATGTTTTGGGCATTTATCCAATGTCGGTAGACCTCTTGTAGGAGTGAAGTTCAGGTCTTTTGGGGAAGCTTAGGGATCTGAATCCAGGACTTCCCATATCCATATTCTTCCAACTGCACTTAAAGGAAATAAATTCAGGTCAGGTACTATTTCCTGTTAAATCACTGAAAACTTTGATCTGATCTCCAATTTGCCTAATTTTATGTAGACTGAAAAAGATCAAGTTCTTTCAGTCTGTACTTGTAACTCCTATCTTAAGCCCTGGACTTTGCTGGACTTTCACTAGGACGTGATGATGCATTTGTTAATGTCGAGACCAGAGGTGTGTGGCGAGCTCCACATGTAGTCTGGCATTCAGGCTAATTTTCAAAGGTCATTCCTGTCTTTCCTTTATTTCGTACCTACTTAGCTTTATATCTTTATTCCAAAAGGAAGCAACACAAATACTTGACAGAATTCAGTAAGCAAATCAAGCAGAGGAAAAAAAACCATCATGTTCCCAGACCGAACTGCAGCATTTTTAATATAGGTGGTAATTAACAGTGTCAATGAGCTGCTCACTGGGAAGCTTACTGTACATTGCTCAGAAGTTAACTGTTCATTAATTTGATCTAACAGTCAGCACAATAGTTCAGATGTTTTTGTGTTAATAATTAAAGAGTTTAATAATAGGAGCTTGTACACCTGAGGTTGTACTCCTTGTAAGAGATTGTACCTGGTTTTATCTCCAATTAATGACACACCCAGACACTAAAAAGAAAACACTGCGATGCAGACCACAAGTGCTTTGTTGTTTATGATTTTTATGATCTTTTAATGACCCCAGTGGCATTTTAATGGTGATAAAGGTTAACTTATTAATAAGGTTATAACCATATTATTGTCTACTGATTTGGTTATGGCAACACAAAACCTGACTTGATTTCAGGTTCCAAGTACAGATCTTCCTGTGAAGCTGGGTGTTAGCTCTTTTGCTGGCTACTAAAAGACATTCATATCCCGTTATGAAGAATCCAGGTCGATCCCCCATTTCACAGAGCTCATTTCTTGGTTAGCATGATGCTTTTATGTGACTGCTAAGAGTTGACAATATGAAAATATATCCCATTAAAGGAAAAGTACGGTATCAAGTGTAACACAAACTCTTACAGCACCTGCTGTCTTGTACTGGAAAGCACTAACAGAAAAGACAGATTGTAACAAGACAATCTATTTAGCCATTTCTGGGGCAATATTTGAGGATTGGAACAAATAGGGTTTAGGAAAGGTGGATCCAGGATATCGGAAGAATTTGATCATTGAGTTCTGAAAGCTCAAGCGTAGAATAGCTACGTCCCAGAAAGTCCCCAGCTTGGTTTCGAAAAGCTCTGAATGAGATCGTCGTGTCACAGCTTGTCCCTGTGGCTCTGCCGGCTCTACTCCATGCCTTGCCTGTGTTGCAGGTCTCGCACAAGGACGAGAGCGCGGGGAGCGGCCGGGACGAGGTGCTGCAGACGGCGGCACATTCCTACGAGGAGACGCCACCCAAGGCGCCGCCGGGGAGACACGGGAAAGGTGAGCCGGGACCTCTTAGCCTTTCTCGGAGAGGGCTAGGTACGTTGTGCGCTCGGCGCTGTAAAGAACAGGGAGGGATTCAGCCTCGTCCCATTCTCCTGCCCTCCAGGATGTTCGAATCGGTGAAATGGATCCGGAAGCCAAGGTTTTTCTTCACTTGAACCGTACCTTTGATGATAGCCTGACTTCTTTTTAGAACCTCTCCATCCATTTCCAGATTTCCTCTTTGTATACCTCCCACCCACACCACACCACACCACACCACGCAGATCTCCTTTCATTTAGACACTTTCTCACCTGCCCCATCCTCTCTTCTTCTTTGCTTCAGATCCCTGCAGATTTGTAATTTCTACTAATTGCTGCTTAATTGATTGTTTTAAGTTGGTGTCCAGGAAATATCTTTAGATTATTGCAGATATTTGTTGAACTGGAGGTCTGTTATTTAATCCCCTTGATTATTTGCTCTGCTCAGGAAGTTGTTGCAGTTATGTTTGTGTAAAGTGTTTTGTTGTACTTGTAGAAATAGATTGCTTGCCATGGTGTCTTGTTGGCTAATTGATAAGTAACATTTTGGTGCAAACTGATGTTCCTGGCTGTGTGAATAAACATGTCTGTGAAGTACAGGATATAACCGTAGCCCATTCCCATGGTTTTATCATGGCGTGTTCAGCGACTGCAGCACGAAGCAATTTATCCTGCCTTCAAAAAAAGCCAGAGACGCCAAGCATCACTGTCCCAGCCTAATGGAAACAGACTTTATCGCTTTCTGCTCAGAATAGAAATGCGCCCTTTCTTGTGTGCATTAATGAAATTCTTCAACACCCGCAGGGGTTCTGTAACCCTGTTGTTGTTTCAGTAAGTGGTATCATGACGTTAAACAAGGAATTAAAAAGCTGATTTACTATTGCTGCTGGTTCCACTCTGCTGACGTTTAATGAGGGAATGGAGATAGCTGCTGCTGGGGAGATAGACGGGCGATAGAGCTGTGAAGTTTGCTCATTTAATGCAGACAGCAATGCAGGAGGAGGGGGCGGAGGGAGTGTGGTGGAGACCTGGCCTCATTCTTCTGGGAACTGCCTGGATGGGGGGCTATTATTCCTGAGGCTGATGCGTCACTGTTTGGGGTTGGACAGGAGGGACAGGTGTCAAGTGAGAACAAAGCCTTGGTTTTTACAGAGGAACAGAGCCTGAGAGGAACTAAGGAAGCTGGCAGTACTGAGGGTTGGGCTGTATACTGTACCTTCATCACCAAGAAGCAAAATATGAGGCATAAGGGAGACGATGCTTTGCGTTTTTTAAAAAGACTTTAGGTCAGTGTTCTTTCCACTGCCCACAGCCTGACTTTCTATAGGCGTGAAACTATGAATACTGTCTTTAGAAAGCTGGATGAGTTATTGGGGGATTTTCTCTTTGGTGATGAAAGAATGGGGGCTTATATGTCAAAGTTGAGGTTTGCTGTCCCTGCTGCCTACCTCTGTGACGGCAGTGGTGAGCACTCGTGCTTTCTTCTGTATGAGAACGTCTGAACCCACCTTGCAGTTGTTGAAGAAGTGTTACCCCAAGGATGATAACATAGTAGTGTCCAAACTATTGAGTGTGCTTGAGTTAAAACTAGGAGAAGGAAAGAAGCCCAGGTCAGGAGAAAGGTTCTCGGCAAAAGAGACACAGGCACACAGGCCTTCATGACCATCCAAGTCCAGTGTGCTGTAGTCTTCCTTCTCCTGTTCTCAGCCTTTTCAAGTGCACTGGGTCAGCCATGTACATCTTACACAGGCAGGGCAGGAACGATGCACACCTGAATCCCACAGCAGCCACTCACTGGAGAAGCGTTGTTCCTCTTGTTGACATCGCTGCTACTTTACAGACTCTGGGGGAGTCACAAGGGCCTCCTTCGAGGCCAGTTGGAGCCCCATCTACCTTGGTAGACTTTGGCCTGATGTAAGCATCCATTAAGGTTGGGGAATCCCTAAACCTCTTTGCTCTTTTTGTTGTTTTTTTTAAGGATTTTTTGTGCTGTCTTGCTAAGCAGTGTTGTATTCTGTGTGTTGACACAAGGTCTTTGATCAGATGGGGCTGTATTCTGCGGCTCTCATAATTTGATCCCACACTTCGGGACATCTGTTTCTGCTTAGTGCTCAGTCCGTGAGCTGGAAGGAGCTGCTGGAGAGGCTGGGGAGTGCTGCACTGGTTCAGGTATTTGCGCTGGTCCAGACTTGTCTGCCTTGTGTGCCGTGAGGAAGGAAGGTGTGTGGGACTCTGCTCTGATCCTGCTGCTCACCGAGGGCAGATGGGGGAGTCCACCACAGCGTGGCGTGGTGACCTGGGGGTCACCCCGAGCAGGGAACGGAGGGGCAGGCTCCATTTATTTGGGGTGCAAGCTGTTGGAATAGAGGAATAGAGAAAGTAGCCAATTCTACCTGTGTTTCTGTACTGTTGGACGTTGGACCCCTTATGAAAAACATCTATAGATGACTTAAGGGTTTCTATTGCAAACTGGGACATTGCAAATTGGGACATTTCTGTAGACACATGCCTGGCTGTGTGTAATTACACACCGGGTTCATGTTTGGCAGGCCAGATTACCACACTGTGGGAGGCAGTGACATGGATTATGAAGTGGTTACAAGTGGTTGACAAAAGCAGTGTTCTCAAGGAGGCCTGGGAGCTGTTCAGTTTTTTCAAGATGGCTGGTTTTGCACAGAATGAGAAGAGAGTTTTCTGGTCCAGCCCAGCTGTATGTAGCTTAGCTGAGATAGTAAGTGCTGAAGTATGTTTTTCTTACTTTTCCTAAAATGTTTCAGATTTTCCATTTTACAGTTGACATTAAATCTCCTACCAGTTTAAGAGGTGAAAACACTTAATTAGGTCTAATTAAGTAAATGCTTCATTCCATTAAGTGATTAAGAGCTCAGCTGGAATGGCAAGCAGGAATGTCTGGGGAACAGTAACAGCAGGCTCAAGAGCTGAATCATGTCAGCTGGGCATTTAGGCCAGTCTTCAGTGTCATGGACAGCTAAGCCACACAGCTAAGGAGTGGTCAGGACAGAACTTCCCCGAACTGCTGTAATGGGACTTTAAAGACCTGTTTATGTATGAATTCGAAGCCTGTCGTCTCGACACTGAAGATGCTGTGTTCAGAAGCGTGTGCCGCGTGTGTCCTGTGCGGGATAAAGCAAACAGGAAACAGAAGAGTGAGAAACGGAATACATTATCGGGCTCTGTGCACCCTTGAGAAGGACAAGCTTCTGTTTCCTCAGCCCTGGTGGCGGCTGGTGAATGAGTGTCCCGAGGAGAAGCTCCACTAAGACAGCGCGAGTGTGTTTCAGTGCAGTGCATCTTTCAAGGTTAGCGCAAGCCAAGCGAGAGCAGGACATGCTTTAAAAAGAGACACAGCTCCCTTGGCAGGCTTGAGTCAGGTTTACTTCTTTCATTGGCAAGTTGTGAAGTTCTCAACCAGCAGGGACACCTTCTGAACCCTGTCATTCAGAAGTTGTCCGTTCATGTTCAGGGTATGACATCGCCTGACTTTGGGATTCCCTGTGCAGCAGCAGAGTATTGGCTGTGCTCTGCTGGGGTTTTTGCGGCCTTGAACATTTCCCATGCCACGCAGAAGAGAGTCAGGGAACTGCTGAGTGCCTGTGAGATGGCTGTCATGTTCCCGAGAGTTGCATCACCTCTGCGGTTGGTGTTCTGCCCCTGATAAGACCCTAGAGCTCACAGCATGTTTAAACGTGAATGGTTTAAACTTTGAATAGAAGAACAGTTTAGATCAACAGTAAAGAGTGAAGAATTAGAGCAATAAAATAAAAAGTTTCAACAATATTTTGTCAAACTTTGGCCATCCATGTTCCATAAAGGACATTGCTGCCCCGGAAATAATTTTTCCAAGGGGAGACCAGCAAGATTTGCGGTCTCAAATTAATGCTATTTACAGGCAGGTTAAAAAAATGAATCTAAACTAAAAAAGGTTATATTTCAGTGCAAGAAGTTTTACAAAGTCATTCTATAATCCTATTTCAAGATCCACAATGAAACAAGGAGGCAAGCATCCAAATGGAAATTAAAGCTAGATGCATTTAGGACCGAAACAGGAGGCACTTTTTGAGAATGGGTCCCGCAAGCTCATTTTTAACAGTTCTTATATTGGCTCTACTACTAAAGCCATGGGATGTGTAGGAGGAATGTGCTCTGGGACAGTGGGAGTCATTTTGCTTAAGCCAGCAACTGAACTGTGCCTTTGGCCAGAGCACAAAGACTCACGACCCAGTCCTGTGCTACAGACTGTGCCAGCTGCTCCTCACAACAGCGTTTCAGCTTTAGAAGTACAGTTACAGCCGACTTTCTCGTTCCTGTCCAGCCCAGCAGTCCTCCTGCAGTACTGTCACCAGTGAGAGAAGAAGTGCAAAGTTTAGAGATCCTACAGGAGTTTACCCTGGAAGACGCGTCTCGTCTCGGAGACAACCCCCCTCGTTCTCTGCCGTATGTATAAATGTATCTCGAGCAACAGAGACTGGGAGTAGTTTTAAACAAACATCACCTGGGCCTACTGCCATCTGTGCAGTTCTAATGAATGAATTGAAGGACATAACTCTTAAGCCAACTGAAATGATTTTGAACCTGTCTTAACAAGCATTGCCTTGAATGCTACTAGAAACTGCAGTGATAAAAAGCCCTAATGTTGTAAGTTAAACATCTGTAGAAACAGTTTACTGTTAGCCTGTGGATTGATTTCCAGCCTTCGGTTTGACCACTGACACACAAGGTCAAGGTACCAGATACACGTATGTTGTGTCTGCTCTGTTTTCTACTCAGCTGCTAGTTTGAATGAATAGGACTGTGGATTACCTGTATCTAAGAAGAGAAACCAAGTGGTGGAAGTTAATTAGTGAGCATTTGGCCTCAGTGCTACATGGATACCTAGAGACTAGGTCTGCTGGTTTGGTAAAGATGTTAAAGAGACCACATAGTTTTATATTAAAAAAGCTTGAAACCTGAAAATC